CTATTCAAAACGGGACGCAATGTTAAAGTTCGAGCTACTGTTTTTGCCCTGAGGAAAACTAGAACAACACAATGATGATAAATAAAGCGCTTGAGAAGGACTGAGTACATATAACTGATAGAACCGAACAGCATTGCAGCTCGCAGCAACTTGCTCTATGGTGCGGGTGGACGAGAACGACAATACCATGATGGTGTTGCATGCATCCGCTGCTCTAGCAGTGGCGACCTCTCCTGCGGTAAACTTGCAGAAGAATTATACATCATGCATTGTAAAAGAGAGAGTTTGAACTTTGAAGTCATTATCTGATGGGAGAATTCATCTAGGAATTTAGACCTTCGGGATGAGCTAATTGATGCATAGCAGTTGGAGCAATCATAATAGGTGCGGAGATTTTGAAACCCAATACAGTTGTTGACATATCTATTCTGCTAACATCTACAAGAACTCTTGGTCGTAGTCTGGAAATCCACAGCAACAAATGAATGAGAAATAAAGTTATACTCGTTTCTCTTTATGTTACTGTAATAACTAACATGAAGTAGGTCTAAGACTCACAAGATTCTTTGAAACGCCTCAACATTCTGTTTTAGTGTGTGCTGGTCCTCAGCTCCTCCAGTGTAGAAATCATAGTACATTTTTGGAAGGATCTTCTTCGCCAATTCTTGGAACTCGTTCACGTTGACAGGTTCAGTTGCCATTTTATCCTGGGCAAACAAATGTCTATAGATCATGAGCTCCTTGTAATCCAATCAGTGATTGGGTTAAATTTCTACATAACAATTCAGTTTCACTCCACAAAAAGCACCTGAACAGTTACGATCAGTAGTACCTTGAAACCATAACAATTTGAAGGAAAACATTATGATCCATTAGAACACTTCATGTTCTATACATTAAGTAACAGAAGAAAAATTTGATCTTCTTTGATCAGAAACAAGTTAAGGACATACCGATGGGTTTGGAAAAATCCGGTTTTCTTCTTGGATGGAGAGTTAGTTAAAAACAGCAAATTAAACTGGTCTGATCAGTTTGATAGTTAGTGATTGAGTAAAGTTCATCGGATGGATAAGCAAATTGCGTGCAGGGCAAAAAGAACCTTCCCTAAATGGGGACAAAATTGCTGCCTCAGAAGATTGTACACTTACTTTTCTTTTACGTTGGCTTTGAAAGATACTTGTATTTGAATAATATACAAGAAGAAAACAACCAAGCGTCCAATTGAGAGGCCAAACTCTACATATGTCGCTTTCTATTGAATTCAGCTTCAAAGACTATCAACATGGTATAAAGAAAGAAAAAAAATCAGAGCATTATACCAAGCTTTTAATATAATAATCAGAAATCCAACGTAATTTATTTTGAGGGACATGATAGCTTTTAGAAAACTTGGGCCCCAGTTTGGTAAAGTTGTGATCCTACTCATAATTCCTATCAGTAGAGTATTTTTGTTTTCCTACTCTGTCAAATTTCTTATATATTTTTACCCATACCTTCTCTTTTTAGTCCCACCACTTGATTTCTTTTGGGAGAAGTGAACTGAAGTGCCCCTCTGTTTTAATAGTGTTACAAATACATGCTTGGCTGTAAAAGTCAACTCTCCTCGTCTCATAAGATGAGCGTTATTCTTGTGTCATTATGCCCATCCAAACTAAAATTCCAGCCAAACCACATAAATAGATGATTTTGCCTCAAATCAAATCAAAAAAAAAAAAAAAAAAAAAAACCCACAAACATTATTAATAAATGATTTTGTGTTAATTGTTTCCCATCATTCACAGAAACAAATGCATGAGAAATAAAATTAGTACTC